CCCTTCTCTTAAGGTGGATCTGCATAATCCAAGGTACTTGCTATCTGGGTGATTCCATGATTGCTATCAGAGAGCCTATTATATTTGGGTGATGACCCCCTGCTGGATGGATAAGGCACTACAGATGGTTAAGATGTAATGCTGATCACCTGCCGAGCTGTTCGTTTGCCAGATGATCTTCAGGTTCTCAGGTACTCAAACGCACATATTTGTGCGCTATCTGGTTAGTGCATATTATATAGCAGGGGCGGACTGACCATTTGGAAACTCGGGCAGTACCCGAGGGCCCGGGGTCAGTAGGGGGCCCCATGAGATGCCCCTAATACTTTTTCATAGTCTTTTTTGAGCTTGGGAAAGGACACAGGGGCCCCATGATCCCCTATTGCCCGGGGGGCCCCTCGAGTTGTCAGTCCGCCCCTGTTATATACACACCTATGAGCACGGGGACCACTATCATCTCACTTATGTTTGGATGTCCACTATCACAATGAGGGATGCATCAATATTGATTATCAATCACTATATGCACTTATTGCTGTTACATGACTGGACTTTATTTATATCTATCATGTTTTTAGGACTATGTTTACATATACTAGTCAACAATTTATTTCACTTAGCGCTGCATTTTTTATATGAAATTACAATATGCTCGTTTACATATCTCTCACAAATGCAAACAATTAACGCATTTCTTGCAAACAGCTAATTGAATACATTTAAATACAATCTAGCTTTGTATGTGATTTTGACAAACACAAATATAGAACTTACAGCCATATGTGTATCAAAGGGAGAAAGGAGGCCTGCACTGGTGGTGTTCCAAACTGGAACTGGACTGATTTGTGAGTGAAACTTCCTGTTTCAAGATTGCAATAGACTGCAATTGTAGTGAATGTCCAATAGATGGCTCCCTATCCAATACAATGATGATGTACAGAACAAGTACACCTTAACAATATATTCACAGTTTCCCTTTACAAATGCTTAAAGTACATAAAAAGTACCTGTTGATTCACCAGAAATCCAATGAGCTACTAACTTCCTATATAAAACTTTCAACACAGTGTCTTCTCTGTACTCATTCTCAACCATCGTTATCAGACCCACATGTTAGACTCCAGGACTCCACCTATCCCTATCCCTGTCCCTTTCCAAAGGCATACATTGATTTCTTTCCTAGCAAAAATGCTCCTGCCGTGACTCCCTAAAGCCTGCCCACTGTATGTAGGGAAAGGGCTTTCAGGAGATGTAGATCTGGGGGCATTCCTAAATCAATAGTAACTGACTGCAAGAAATTTACAAGCCTGGTGGTGACACCATAAGGAGTAATAAAATCTGCTTTTTGCTACAAGAACAAGGTACAAAATATGCTGAAGCATGCTCTAGAAGACAAGAGGGATAATTTTGGTGTAAATTTCGGTAATGGATGGACCTACACTTTAAGTTGGCTAATATAGGGGAACCGCATTAAATTTCTATTTCTAATACAGTACAACACTACTGTTGTAATACATGTAGAAATTAGGGTTTTTAAAACATAACCAAGCAATGATAATACTAGTTTCAATGAAAAAAAATAGCCAAATTGTCAACCTGGTTTCCATGACAACCAGCACTGGTAATCGGGGGGGCATCAACTATAACCTGGCGAATAATATGCTCCGGCATGTTAGCGTGGCGGAGCCTCTGCCTTTCCCCGCCACTTATCACCTGTGTGTACATTGTCTGCAAATAATCATTTTCAAATTATGCAAAAAACACCAAGCGGCTAATCTGTTTGCTGTTTAACTTGCAAACTGTACAAAGCGTTAATGAGTGGCTGGATGGTGCAACGCTAAATTAACACTCGAATAGAAATTCCATCTCCGGGGATTAAACGCTTTGAACCTAGCGGCTGCGTCGAGATTTTGTTAGAGGCGGTTAGAAAGTTTTAATTAAATTAACCTGACATGCTTCTGGACAAAAGGCCTCTTGTATTACCTCCATAGTTTCTAATTATAGTCTAATGCTCACCAGGGACTTACCGGGGTGTATTAAATTCCTTTCCTATTAAACAGGAGACAAAGAGGAGTGAAAACTCTGATGTGACAGTGTGATATGCATATTGTGTCCTGGAAGATTTTTTTTTTTTTCCCTCATCTTTTGGTTTTCAGTTACTCCAATCAAGCACAGACACCTCCAGCAGTTATAAGGGTCACTGCCTGCCTGTTGAAGGGAATGTACCATGCTCAGCCTAAATGAAATCAACTATAGGTGAGTCTAATTATTCATTAAACAGGTGTCCAGCAGACAGTGGATTATAAAAGGGTGTTACCTAACAAAGAAAACCCCTTCCCATTTCTTGTTGTCAGCAATGGCACCACATGGAAGAGTAATGTCACAAGGCCTGAGAAAGAAAATAATTTCTTTACACAAGAAAGGTGAAGACTACAAGAAGATCAGCAAAGCTTTATTTATCAGTCAGAATACTGTAGCAAAAGTGATACAAAACTTTAACAAAGATGGAACTGCAACCATCTCACAGAGACGCTCAGGCCGTCCACAGTAGTTAACACCTCAACAAGAGTGTCTTCTGATGAAAAGGGCTTAAAAAGTTCCCTGCAGTTAGTTAAAGATGTAGCAAGAAATACTGGGGTGGTTGTTTCCCATGACACAATACAGCGTACACTGCAGAGGAATGGCATGCATGGGTGTCATCCACTAAGGAAGCATCTCCTAAAGCCCTTGCACAAAAAGCCCACATACAAGTTGCCAGGGCCCATGCTGAAAAAGAAGAAGACTACAGGGACTCTGTACTCTGCAGTGGTGAGACCAAGATAAATATTTTTGAAACTGATAGCTTTAAAACTATATGGCGTCGCAAAGGTGAGGAGTACAAAGAAAAATGAATTGTGCCTACAGTGAAATATGGTGGTGGTAGTGTGCCTCTGTGGGGCTGCATGAGTGCTCCTGGTGTCGGGGAGCTGCATTTCAATGATATTATCAGGAATTCACAGATGTACTGCTCTATATTGCTAGACTGTAAGCTCCAAGGAGCAGGGCCCTCTTGTATTGAACTGTATTGTTACTGTACTGTCTCCCACTATAATGTAAAGTGTTGAGCAAACCGCTGGCGCTATATAAATCCTGTATAATAATAATAATAATAATATAATGAAAGAGAAGATGCTACCATCACTCTGTGCACTTGGTCGTCGTGCACTTTTCCAACATGACAATGATCCAAAACACACATCTAAGGCCACTGTTGCCTTTCCGAAGAAGAACAGGGTGAAAGTGATTCAGTGGCCAAGTATGTCTCCTGATCTGAACCAAATTGAACACCGATGGGGAATTCTAAAGAGACAAGTTGGGCATCACTCTCCATCCAGCATCCAGCCTCTAAAAGAGGTCGTTCTTGAAGAATGGAAAGAGATAGATGTTGCAACATGTCACCAACTTCTTCATTCCATGCCTAGGAGACTTGGTACTGTCCTTACAAATCATGGAGGTCATACAAAATATTAGATGGAGTAGTTTTTGTTGTGTGGTGCATTCATTTTTGCTAAAATTAGTCAAACTAAAGATTTTGTAATCTAAGTTATATTAATAACCTTACTTTCATGTAATGAGCTAAACAAATGTTCTATAAACTCAGTTTTGTCAAAATTTTGGAAATCGTTCTCGTGTAAAATCGATATATTGATTAAAATCTTACTTTTCAAAAAGGGGTGTACTCAGTTATGCTGAGCATGGTGTGTGTATTATTTTGCTCATCATCCATAAATAAAATAAATCAAATACCTTGATGTCTGTACAACCAGCCTGCCTATACATTGGTCAAAATTTGGCCCAGTCCCAGATCACTCCTCAGAGGGCACTGCACATGCTAATATGTTACCTTACCTACCATTGTCCAACTAAATTCATACACATTTTTATCTTTATAGTCCTAGAATCCTACATATTATGATCTGTGTCTCATTTTATGGTGAAAATACCCAGAAATGCCTTTTCATTTCAGTCAGAATGCTGCTTCCTACCCTCTTCCTGCAGTGCTTTACACTGGCAGAGCAGAGTAACAGCCACATCCCTCAGCACAAGTGTCCTCACCAGAGATGAGTTTGGGCATCCTCATCTTTACGTGAACTCCAAACTTGTGCTCTATCTTTATTCTAATGAGCTGTGGACTGAGTGCTGACTACTGTGTGCACTAGGTTTACCACTGGCCATATTCAAACACTCTGCACAACTGATGTAACAGAAAAGTGGAGACAAGGGCATGTTCACACCGGCCCACAAACTATAAAGGGTGTTCACTGCTGTGCATTGTGTAGGGATGGTGGGGGTGCATAGTTTACCTTTTTTCTTATTTAAGTGTCACAAAATGACACTTCATTTATTGCTATTGTAGTACTACCTTCTCAAGGGCCGCTGAGTTTTTGGGTCCCCCCTAAGCTCTGCACAGCCAGGCAACACATATTTTCTGGCCCTCTCCTGAAGTCAGTAAAACAGTCCTTGTACTTGGTTTTGTTGTTTTGATTAGTGGTTAAAAACTTGGATGGGGTCTGGGGGTATATGGGATGCCCAAGGAACTGTACAACTTTAACCACTTACCTACAGGACACTTACCCCTTCCTGCTCAGGGCAATTTTCAGCTTTTAGCGCTATTACACTTTGAATGACAATTGCACGATCATTCAACACTGTACCCATATGAATTTTTATCATTTTTTTTGAGACAGGTAGAGCTTTCTTTTGGTGGTATTTAATCATCTCTGGGTTTTTTATTTTTTGCTAAACAAACCAAAAACAACTGAAAATTTTGGAAAAAAAAGTTTCTGTTATAAAATTTAGTAAATAAGTGATTTTTTCTTTCACTGATGTGCGCTAATGAGGTTGCAGTGATGGGCACTGATAGGCTGCACTGATGGGCACTGATAGGTGGCACTGGTAGGCTGCACTTATGGGCATTGACAGGCATCACTGATGGGCACTGAATGGCAGCACTCATATATGGCACTGATAGGCGGCACTGACGGGCACTGATAGGCGGCACTAATGCGTACTAATAGGCAGCACTGATAGGTGGCACTCACTGGCAGCTCAGATGGGCACTGATATGTAGCATTGATGTGCACTGGTAGGCACTGATATGTGGCATTGCTGGGCACTGGCAGGTGACATTGATAAGCACTGACAGCTGGCATTGACAGACAATGACAGGAGGCACTGATAGGGGCTACACTGATCATCAGGGCATACTGATCATCAGTGCCCTGATGATCAGTGTACATGTCCCCTCTGAGGAATGCCGATTTTCCGGCTCTCCTCTCCTCACGAGCTGTCAGTGTCACAGCTCGTGAGGGGAAAAATGCCGATAATCAGCATTTCCTTATTTACATATGATCAGCTGTGACTGGACACAGCTGATCACATGACAGAGCCAATGTCTTTGGCTCTTTTTGTTGATCGGTGATCCGCTGTGTCCGAGGGACACAGCGCACCACAGATCGCCGAGCTGTGCACCCCTGGAGTTAGAGTGGGAGGACGTCATATGATGTCCTCCCGGAATGAGAGAACTGCCTTGTGCCCGTCATTTCCTTATTTGGCAGGCAGGAGGCGGTTAAGGACGAACTTTTCAGCAAAAAATGGACATAAATCAGCAGACAGACAATCTCTGTAAGGAGCATTGGGTCCCCTTTGGTGAACCTCCTAAGACCCAGATGAAAATCTCCTTATCCATCAGCTATCCCTGAGCAAGGCATTCTGAGATCTAAAATGAAGAAGTCCCAGGGAGAACTAGTTGGGTATTGCACCTGACCACCCTCTCCCTCCTTTGGCCTAGGGGGTGTAGAAGTTCTCACACTGTCCTGTTCCTGTTACCCTGTAATGTATTAAAGCTGCTTCATGCCTTATGCTGGGCTGGCTCCTTCCCTGCTGACAGGCTTTATTTTTCCTAGCAGACTGTGTGACAGTGGAGATCCTTCTATCCATCTCCAACCTGTAGATAGGCCTCCCTCCACTGGGACCCCATACAAGGCTCCACACACCAGCACCATCCGTCACTCTATATTGCACTCGACTCCTCTGCTGTGTAGGCTCTCCTATATTTAAGGGCTGGCCTAGCCACCATGCCATGCCTCCTACTTGGGGATTGGCCAGGTTACCTCAAACATGCAAACACAGGCCTCCTACCCTTCTCCGCCCCTCTTCTAAAAAGTGCCAGAGCTCCAGAAGCTCTGACCTGTAGAGCCTCCCAGCCTGCCCTGATGTGATCTTACTGCCTCACTTCCAGGCTGACTCATCTCAGACTTCTAGCAAGTCTCTAACACTACAAAAATCCTGCCTAAACTGGAGGGCGCTACACTTGAATGAGACATGCAGTAGAGTGCTGTACGTTGCACTGCTTAAAAATGCAGAACCGCAATGCACCACATCAAAATGTTATGGTGCAAAGATGGCACAATGTTTTGTATGCACCCTTGCGTTGAGGGTACATTTATCTTTACAGATCACTGCACCTCAACGGACATTGAAAATGGAGATTGTTAATACAGTGTTTCGGCAACTGCAATTACTGTATAGCTCTGTGATTTAGCTATTAAGGCTTCATTCACATTAGTGTGGCTCCAAACTAGATTTGGAGTGCAACTTTGGAGGGCAACTCTGATCCAACTGAATGGATAACACTTGGATGTGACTTTGACTCAGACCAATGACTGTCACATGTATAACATTCAGATGGGACTTTTGAGAGTTTACATTTCAGTCTATAGCACTCAAGTCACATTACAGTTGGACCAAAGTAGTGCAGGAATCTTTTTAAAGTTGCCCCGACTTTAATTCACACATATTTGAATGGTTGTCATTAAAAAACATGGGTGTTTAATGTCACAAGTATGAATGGAGCCTAAAATGTCATTTGTTTTTGCTTTCAAATCTTACATTTGCTATTCTGTCTGTATATCTCAGTAGATTGTTTTATATCTCATGAGCAATCTTCATCAACAGCTGAAATTCTGTTCTGTGATATCACCCAACAGGTCAACAACATATCTAAAACTTGTTGCAGCCATCAATAGCCCATAAAACATCTCACAGGAAAACATTCAGCTTTTATGCTCTATCAAAGAGGTGATCACCTCCTGGGAGTGTGACACACGTTCTCGGCAGCCTTCCCATATTCTACACATAATATCATGATATAAAACCCATGTACCCATTACTAATATTCCAGAGCGTACAGTATCTACTGTCAGGGCTTGCTGAAGTCAGAAGGCCTCAGATGTATTCATTACTTTCCTTAAATTAGGACCCCCAGCCAAACAACAAAAAATGAATAGCTCAATAAAAAATAACTTACCAAAACCAGATTTGCTTCAACATTCACTTGCATTCCAGAGATTTTTCCTAAAGTTTTTTTTGGCCTGCTAGATGTCCTCTGTCTGATGGATCATCATTCAACCAGGACAACCCCCCCCCCCAGCCTGCATTTGGACATTGATGGGTGAAGCAGCACATGAGATGAACTCATCTCTCTGTCACTCTGCTCTCGTCTGTGCTGCTTCTTCTCCTCTCATACTTCAGTTCTCTTGGGTGTAGGACAGTGGCTGCAGGAGGCTGATATCAGGTCACATTCAGATACTTATGCTGTGTGCAGGGCTGCTGTTAGAAACCACAGGGCCCCATACAGCCGACCTGACAGAGCCCCCTCCAAACCCCCCCCCCCAAAAAAAAAACAGTTTACAATGCTTCAGTTATGAATGATTACAGTGAGTGATTGGTACCAATCACTTATTGTGTTCATTCAGGAAAGAAAGGGCTGGTAAATGTAACACATTTATCGAACCCATCCCCTACTCTCCATGCTGAAGGATCTTATTGTGTCCTTGCAGCTGCCAGTGGGAAGTAGAGGGAAGCTGGCAGCACTGCAGGAGGTGGGGGCACACAGGGGGGGGGAGGTGGGGCCTGAAGGAAACATATGGTGCACATGGAGGGTGATGGGTGCAGCGGGGGTGGAGGATGGACAATTACTGGGAATCAATGACTATCTGCAGCAGTTGAGAGGGAGAGCAGAAGGATCCAGCTGCAGAAAGAGCCATACAGGGGATCGGTTCCAGTAATTTGTGCTGATCACCCTCCATGCCCACATCCAATTATCCCAGTTGCCTGGCCTCCCCTGCTGGCCTGGGCCCGTACAGGAGGACTAGTGGTACCCCATTATCCATGGCCCTGGCTGCGAGCATTTAAAAAAATACACTGCATGATATACTAATGGTTACAGAGCTGCATTCATTTGTGTCATTTATATCTGCCTCAGGTTCTGCTTTTATTAACTATGTGTGCTCACATTACCGTCTGTACAAGTACCGGTAATCCTTTTTCTTCTACAAGAAACAGATGAGAAGACAGGTACACTTTACATACTGCCCAACTTTTTTGAAAAGCAGATCAGAATGACAACTCATTAATCCAACCATAATTGCTATATGTTAATATTAATTAGGCAATTTGCAGTATCATTAGCCTCCCTGTGTAATATACAATCCCTTCTACAATGTTATCATAATTGGGATCGGCTACCATCACGTATGCATGCAGTGCGGTAACCGGTGTAATGGATATCCTGACAAGGGAAGTCAATTACTGCAATGATATTTCTTTAGTATAATGTGTTTAGTGATTTGGATTTGTTGGTGAATGATGGCCCAATGTGCCCAGGGGCTAGATTGCTCTGATATTAAACAGGCCTCCCCCACAGCCGTCCACCTCTGTCACTCCTGAATTTTCTGTCCCCATTGCTATTCAGGCCTTATTAGGAGACGGGAAAAAACTTGGAGGTTTACTCAGTCTCAGGTGGCTTGGGGCAATATATCCCTCATAGAAGCCAATTGTTACTCTTGTGTCTTACACTTTGTGCAGAGAAATAGATACCACTGTCAGTAATGTAACGAGAGGTGGCCATAGACATTATGGGATTGATTTACGAAAGGCAAATAGACTGTGCACTCTGCAAGAGCAGTTGCTTCAGAGCAGGGCCACATGTGGCCCTCGGAGTCTTCTAATGTGGCCCTTAACCTCAAACCAGGGAAGTGCATGACCAGGGGGAGCAACCTGTTGATCACAATCTGGGCTTGCTGACCTGCCATCATAGAGCATCAGAGTGCATCAAGCTGGCAGCCACCTGCGGTGCGGGTAAACCACAGTGCTTCAGTGTGAAAAAAGCTGTATAGAGGGCTCAGGACAGTAAGGGCTTGTTTACATTCATGGTTTGGGGGGTGTTTGGTAAAACCCCATAGTTGAGACGTGTTTTTTACCACACACCCCCAGCCACTGGCAAAGCTTCAGGGGTCGCAATGGCAACCCCACCCCATGCCCCAGGGGGCCTGTATGGCCTGCCTACATCATTTTGTTTTACACTTGGACAGGAGGGGCGGTTGGAACAGCATATACAGAACCAGTCCCGCTTCTCCTCTTCTCCCTCCCACTGGCATTCGGCGGCTTCAGGAGGAAAATGTTCATTAGGATATTCAAAACAAAACATTTGAAATTCTGCACCATTTAATTTCATTATGGCCCAAGGTTGAGCACCACTGCTCCAGAGCTTAGTAAATGAGCAGAAGTTCTGCTGACTTCCATCAATCGTGCAAGCAAAAATGCGGTTTATTTTATTTTCCTTGCATGTGGTTAGCTATTCTCAAGCTCATTTAGTAAGCTCTGGAGCAACTGCACTTGTAAATCGACCCCAGCGTGTATTTCTTATTTGCAGTCCAATTGTGATACCTATGTATTTGCAACATAACTTTAACCTCCAGAAAAAAAAAGCCCTGGAGCAGCCAGAACACCCATTAACTGCTTTGTGCACAACCAATGTGAGCAGCTCTGTATCTTGCGATTGACCAATCACCACAATAACATATGAGAGCCCTCCCCCTCCTCCTGCAACGGAGGAAAAAGGAACTACTGAATTAAATATTATTCTTGAGTTCTAAATCATCAGTCGCAGCAACAGATTTAAGGTAAAGGGGGGTGTGATTGTGGAATTGTTTTAAAGTTTTCTAATCCCCCTACTTTCCTACACTAATGATCCCCATGTTTCAGACCTGTATATTAATCTTTCACCTCCCTTATCCTGCATATCTATACATTAACCTTCTCATCTCCATCCTCCCCACTGTATATGATCTGTACAGTATATCAACCCCTTCACAGTCTCCTCCCTCTGTGTATAACCTGTACATTTATATTGAATGTATTGTATGAATGTAACTTTTCAATACCAGCATGTTTTTTTGGGTTTTTTTTTTTTTTTCAAAAAAATGAGATCACCTGGTGGTGTCTACTTTCTGAAAAGGAGTAATTTCCAGGAAGTTCATACCATCCTCACATTATTATTTTTTAGGTTATTAACCTGGACTGTAGCTAATAACTCCTCCTGAA